TTGGGATGCCACGGAGGAAAACTCCGTGTCGCCTAGACCACGGCCTTGCCCAACACAAGTTATAAATGCGGGCACCGCCGGGAATCGAACCCGAGACCCCAGGATTACAAGGCCAGCGTCCTAACCGCTAGACCACCGTGGCTCTCCTATCCTACAGGTACGACCAAATAACACAGTGGTTACGAAATCGGAACGTACACAGTTCGAATCCCGGAGGAATACACCCTAGGGCATTGCTCTCATCGCTTCCTGCCACACCACAGAACAATTCAATAATTCAATTCACCTTCTGAGTTCCTACTGAATTAAGTTATTACATAACGCGTCCTCAGACCGGATGAGGCGCTGAGGTACACGTACGTCGTTGAAGGAGCTCCGGGCCGAGTTCGAAACATCACAGCAAAATTACCAACAGCTACATTACAGCGTAGAGAACGCACGCACTGAAAAGCTATTAGTAGTTCGGCGAAATCGCTTTTAAAGTTTTCGCTTCAAGACGGCGTCGAAAGCAAAGTTTCTGTCACATCGCCTATCCCGCGGGAGGGTTGCATTGTCTGTAGTGGTCCATCCAATGAATCATCTCGTGAGCAGCGGCTAGTAACAAGGCTAATGCAGAACAAGCGAATTATTGAGTTCGTGCACAGGCGATAAGACTTCGCGTATCGCCTGTTGCGTCTTTGTCAGGGATCCTACCAGGAACACTCACTTAACCGGCCACCGTTCTCTGAAGGTAAGCGTTTGCAGCTGGCGTAGAAATGCTCGTACATGAAACGAGAGGAACGCCATACGGGCGTGCCATCTGAGCTATCCTGAGGCGCGCTGCCCAAGAACACTCGCAAAAAGTCGGCCAGCGTCCTGCCAGAGAGAGAGACACAGAGAGAGAGACTGCAACATGTTTGTCCAGAGGCGCATGCCCGAGCTCTCTCCAGACTGTCACCTTCGTCGGACTCTGAACCGATAACACCAACAGACGAGAGGTAAAATGTTAGGTTAGGTTCGATCCCAGACGCAAGCTAAACAGTCTTTAACCCTTTGAAGCCGAAGATCGTCTGAATATTATTTATGAATTCAGTCCGTACCGCGAAGAAAACACTACACCTCACCGTTACGAAAATCAGCTGGTTAACCCTTTGAAGCCGAAGCTCGTCTTCATAATATTTACGAATCCAGACCGTACCGCGAAGAAAACACTTCACTTAACCATTAGAAGTCGAATCAGGCGGTGCCACATAAGATTTAACAAAAGAACATCCCGGCCAAAGCCTTAATCACGCACTGCGTCCCCAAGACACCCTTCGACTTAAAAAAGAATAAACACAGGCTTGGCGATGTCTCACGTCCTAACGGCTGTCTTCTGACATGTAGCACCGTGCAGAAAACAATCGATGTTTCGAAGGTGTTTACTGCCTCCATTATCAGAGGGTCCTCTACAACACAGGTCAATTTCTATTATGCTACAGGGCGCAGCATTCGAGAAGACAGTCACGCTTTGACAACCTCCCATTCCTGGTGGCCCCCACATTCTTCCGAGCAACCGGACGATCTGCAGCTGAGCAAACAATCCGGAGAAGCCTGTAGCCTGCTTGTGTGAAGAGCTCTTACAGCATTCCGGGGAAGTTTGTTTTTACGTAAATGAGAAATATACCTCTACCACACAAATTATTAATTTTTTTAGCCGGTTAAGACAGGGGTGGGAAATCGCTTTTATGTGCGGGCCGAATGTAACCGCGTTTGGAAAAGCGACTTTTCGAAGAACGTAGAAAAATAACGATTAACTGTCTATCAAGTGTCTGAGCTGCCCTGACACACGTCCTACAGGAAACAGAAGCATGAGCCGACGATGTTAAACACTCACTGCTGCTTCCAACGTGACAAGGCACGAATTAACATACTCGCAGTTGGCTCAACTGGACGTCGTCACTCAGGGCTTCACAAAACAGTATTTACGTGGCATGTGTGCTAACCAGGGACAACAAAACCTAAATTCCAGTCAAATACACGTTCTTATTTCAACTATTTTACTCCTCGATAGCGTGTGAAGTCCGTGTGTGCCAACCAGGGGCCCGGATACCACCAAATACCACGCCTAAATCAGGTTAAGTAAAATCACTACACGTGGGAAAGGCTGAAACATACGTCAACGAATCCAAAACCTCGCTCCAAACAGCCCAAACACTGGAACACAAAGACACATAGGTCACTTTTACCAGGAGAGATTCGGTTAGGTTATTAGGCGCATGCGCAGAGAATCATATACGAAATCGTCGTCTCGCCTCACGAAATTGAGCACTGAACCAGTCTCCAATGACATAGTCATTAGAATAATGGCAGGCCTTGTGTTGGGAATTTTTTTAGACAAATTCCGATATCCAAAAATGTTAACAAAACCTTCATGTGCCAAACACCAAAGTCAGCAAATATCAAAATGGAGTTCGCTACACAGGAATTAGGCTATTCAGAAATCTTCCCTCCCACTAGAAAAAAGTCTGAATCATGTACAAAGAAGTTTAAGCCAGAACTAAAATGGCATCTCCTATCTCACTCATTCAATTAAACAGAAGAATTTATATCAACCAAAAATTCTCAGCTATTACAAAAACACGTAAACAAAAATGATTATGCTTTCTTATGTAATTATTTTTGTGGTAATACCGACTATAAATCACTGTCATAACTACGTAATTTACATTTGTATTGGAAACAAGTATTGTATTTGTGTTACGTCACGTTCTAAAACCTTTTGCTTGGTCCTGTGAGAACTCTATGGAATGCAAATAAATCCTATTGTATTCATATTAATAAATCCTTCCTTCTTCAAAACGTCATCCTCCATTCTACAAATCGTCTGAGAACAATCATTTCTCTCTCATTTACAAGGGTTAATTATCCTCAGTTCATTAATATACGTAGTAACGCAAATGTTTCGTAATGACCGCCATGTTGAAGCGTTACTCACAGAACACGTGACCGGCCTTACTTTCCCGTATCCTGGTCTGTCCACTCGCTAAACACTTCACGATTACTACCAACCCCAAAAACTTACACTGACCGCAAGCAACCAGCCTCAACCACATCGAAAGACGAGTTACAGAAATAATTCCTGATTATAATTCGGTCAATTCGTGATAAAATTTGCCATTGCCTTCTTCTGTTTGTGAATGGAGTAATTGTTGGGATGCCACGGAGGAAAACTCCGTGTTGCCTAGACCACGGCCTTGCCCAACACAAGTTATAAATTCGGGCACCGCCGGGAATCGAAACCGAGACCCCAGGATTACAAGACCAGCGTTCTAACCGCTAGACCACCGTGGCCATAGAGCAAGTGGTATTCAACCTTTTTTGTTCGCGTACCCCCAAAGTTGCTGGTGTATAATTCAAGTTATACATAGTATATAATCTACATCTAAAATAAATTAAATAAATTACATTACTGATTATTTAGTGTTTATCATAAAATATATTTTTTTATAAATTTCACGTGCCCCCTAAGATGCCTTCGCGTACCCCAGGTTGGAGACCACTGGTCTAGATCACATATCCTATTGTAATAAATCGGGACTCCGGTTTCCTGTAAAGTTCGTATTTTCAATCGATTCTCATTGCAATCTCCACATTGTACCTTCTCATTCGACGGTACATAAAATCGATATATGAGTCAGCGCAGTTAAATAAGCGAATACACACGACTGTCTCCTAATAATTCAAAATTAGAGTCTGGATTCGAGGATTACTGGCGTCTAGGCACTGAAAGAAAAATGTATTACCGACAGTCGTGGCAGATCGTAAAACATCGGGCTTCATTCGGGCTGGGATAAAAGGAAAGTTGACCTGGGGTCAAACGCTGATCTGCCGAGAGCCGGGTTCAAGTTGTAAAATTTTCGGTCCGCGCGGATTCGTCCAGGAAAACTCCACACCCAGAACGCACGAACCATCCTCGGCCGACCGGACTCCACTCGCAGTGGAAGCTTCGAAACGTCGCTCACACCAAAGCCGCCGTAATGATTCTATATCTATATTTTTCCCGCCGTCTCTGACAAGGTGTCTGTAACCTGGAATGCAGCGCCGTGCAGTCTGCTAGAAGCTTACCGACGTTTCGGAGGTGCCTCCTACCTCCATCTTCAGGGCGGTTTCTTCTGGTTAGCATTCGAATGTGGCATTAGATGTTGTTGACTGGTTTGTTGTGGTCCTCCATTTTCGTCTGTCTTGCGCCAATATCTTCATTTCCACATTTTTCATAGCCCACATCCTCATAAATTCCAATCTTTGTCTCCCCCCTACAATTCTTTCCCTTCCATTACCAAATTAACCAATTCCGGGTGCCTCGGAATGTGTCCTATCTCTTCTTTTGTAAGATTCGTCCTTCGCCTGTCCTCATTTCGTTCTTGATAAGTCCACTTAATTAGATACTCCTTGGAAACAATCTGTGTCGCTGGACAACCATTTGCGACTAGGTAACGTGGAGTCTGGTTATACCACCGAGGCGATATCTGTCGGGCGTTTGTTCGCCGAGACCTTGTTTCACGACCAGGTCAGTCCATGTTGACAAAGCGACACTCTGACAGGATCCCATCCCAGCCCATCTGTCCCCTGTCAGTATCATTCCACCATTGCTCACTCGTGTTTCATTCGGATGACGGACAAAGGACCCTTACAGAACCAGTTCACAGACACATAGCCTCCCCTACCGTGGCGTGTTTTCAACTTCAGATTCTATTGAAGCATTTGGCTGCTTCATAACAACCCATCACAGCCTACAAATAATTAATCGTTCATTACCAACGATCGAAACTTTATGTCAAAACGAAACACGACAATACTTTTAAAATACATTTTACGAGGGCGACAAATTATGGCGGTAAGGTCGGCTAGAAACTACATTGCACTGCGTATCTTTGGTCTACAATAAATAAACTCTCCATTCTGAGGCCTAAATGCTTCAATCTGTCGCGATCTACGTCACACATAACCACAAAATATAACTAGGTATCAGCATCACTTACCTAATATCGCTGACGTACACCAAATGTTATTAATTCATCTCTGTCCAAACAATTGTTCTACCACATAAATGTTTCACCTTTCGGCTGGATATGTCTTTCAATCACAAAACAAACTCACAACGGAATAATCCATACACATCCACAATATAATGCTATGATAAATCATTTACAAAAATTTTCCAAGCAGACATAAAACACGTGTAGGAAACATTTTATAACTTCAACAGCCAACCTTCACACGCTGCATAAAGCGACCGACTGAAAGCATTTGCAGCCACAGATTATACCAGGCAGTTTGAAGTAGCGCATCTGTGATCTCAGGCGAGTACTTCTCGCGCATGCGCAGTCCAGTGTTATGCATAGTGGCGGCGCTGTTATGAGAACTGAAATTCCGACAGTGGAAAGGGGAACAGCAAACATTGATACATAGTTGACAGATATAATTGACATCTTATTTGAAATAATTTGAAACTTTCACGATGAATAAATTTAAGAAAATTATCTCTGGGGCCCTGGGTGAATTTCTATCAAACTTATTTGTTGTGAATTATTACTTATCACTTTAAGCGATCAACAAAAAGATTTTGATTGGCAAAACACGAAACATCAATACTACTTTCGTGACTCGGAGAAACAATGAAATACAAAGTTCTCACGAAAGTATCTGCTCTTTGAAATGTAGGGACTAGGTTCCATTGTTAACAGACAATATCACGAACCTTACCGACTGAGTAAAACTTCACTTTCGTTTCTAGATAATATCTGACTTTCCAATTGTACCAACTACTCCACCCACACATTCCAACAAAGGAGAACAGATAGCACACTAAAACTGGAATTTCCTGCATTAGACTATCGTGCAAGGAATGCATTTCAGATCATTTCCGTACACAAGAAATGTCATTTTCATTTGCATTTTATTCTGGGATAGCATTCATAGTGTTTTAACGTGGTTTCAGCGGAATGAACACATATATTGGCCCACAACAATATGGATATAATTTTATCAAGACGAACATCATGTTAAGCACGGATGCACTAAATGGACATTTGCAATTAAAAATAAAGAACGAGAAAGGAGAATACTCTTTGCTACTATAAACCTAGTGTATCATTTAACCGCAGTTGGCCACACTTATTTACCAAAAATCATGAACTAAAAGCACCAGAAACATTAATAGAATCAATTATTACTTACTTCTGCAGTCTTCGTTGGCTGTCTGTTTCAATAAACTGATCACAAATCTTTGGCTGACATTGTTTTATGAACTCTGACTTTAAAACCGCAAGGAAAAAAGCCAGAAGACATACTTTAGCAGACAGATCTTGAAAACTGCGCTATCTCGACACGCCATCTTTCACTTATGTCGATTACCAACTTGAAGAAACTGATAGCGCAAAGTTTAAAACCATTCCAAGTTTATTCGAAGATTATTTTGTGGTTTCAACACGAAAATTAAAAGTACAGGTATCCCTCGATTTACGCCGGGGATTCGTTCCTGGACGAATCGGCGTAAATTGAAACTCTTTTATAATTTAAATCAATGGGAAGTCAACGACACGCGTTCACAGCATCCAAACATTGACGATTAATATAATGACATTACATTTAAAGCTCTGAAATAACGTAAATAAAATAAAGAGAATTTAAAAAATATATTTTATACCCTTACAATCGGCAATTCGTTGGTCCCCGCGATTCTTTCATGTGATTGATGTGTACAGTCATCTCTGCTGTTATGCGACAGTTGCATTCATGTAAGACGCCGACCTATAGAAAATCGCGTAGTAAAAATAACCCTGGGACCTCCGCAGAGATTAAATTAGTCCTTTGAAAGTTTAAAGCTCGAGGAATGAAATTGCATAAGAGCAAACTCGCATACGCAAAAGTTTGCATTTCACAAACAGATTTTACCGATTCATCGATCTCATTGTAGCAAATTCGCTTTAACGAGACTTACGTAATTGCAGAGATGATTGCATTTATAATTTTTATTCAAAATCAGCGATGTAAGAATTACGATTTAGTATAAGAATCAGTACGAGATACATTGTAAAACGTTATAAATAATAGTAAAATATATTTTTTTTCACTTTTTGACTTGCTGGTTTCAAAATCGGCGCAAATCGAGGGCTACCTGTACACTGTGAAACAAGACTGTCAAATATTTGACAAAACTGTATAATTCTTTACAAACGAGGAATCTTGGCAGGCCTAGGGAAAACGGTAGAGGATGACGTGACCTTGAGGCAAAAGTTGGGGTGGCAGGAAGTGACAGAGTTGTAAAATAACTTAGTTGTAACTTTCATCGTCCTATGTTGGCAGCCGTTCTGTTTCCAGGAGCGCTGACACTTCAAGGTTATAGTAATCGAAATGAAACACAGCTGACGTTCTAGCATACATTCGTTGTTCTCGGGCGGTAAAACAGAGCGTTTTTTATTTACAACTACGTGTTCCATCTCTTTTTAACAATCAGCAACACTGCATTTTGAATCTACGGATTTCCTATGATGTTCACAATAAACAGCGATTATTTCCTTAAACAGCGTTAACTACTTGATCTTTTTAATGGTGCAGTTCGGTGTTTTCTTAGCGGGACGGACTGGATTCTTAAAAGCTATTTAGATGAACTTATTTCGTGCATTGCTTAAAACTTAAATAATTTAATGACACTGTATTGACTGCGAAAGTTATTTCGAGCCGAATGACAGTTCTGTCCACAACAGATGCTATACTATAACGAAGTTCGGACGGTAACTATTGATCCCCCATTAGCTGGAACGGGTACTGACTTCATTTATATGCAAATGATCGGCTGTAGGAGAACCAGCTGCCTTTTCTGTCCTTAGAGATCAACCAAACAAGGTGGGTAAAATGCCAAGGGCCTCCTTATATATTCACAGCAAAGCAACACCTCGTGCATTCCTCACAACGACGAATCAAGGTGACTGTTCATAAAGCTGGACACTAGATGGAGGTAAGTGGTCAGCTTTAAGCTCTGGCCGCCTTATTACCCGGGATCTGTGCGATCCCTATTGCATAGAAGGTTATGTGGGGCCAGAGCCTGGCCCGGATTAGAAACGAATCCAAGTCATCCCAGCCTGTAAACTAGTCACTACACTGACTGAAGAAAAATTATGACTGCGGGTCTGACTTTGTGATGTTAATACTTCTCTTATATGGTTATCGCATGGGAAGTACTGTTATGTACCACTAAAATCGTGCACAATGTCTTTCACAGAACAATCATCTCATAAACCAGTGTTTCACAGTTCCTTGTCTGCATGACAATGTCACGCACCTAGTAATTTTTTCACTTTCTCAGTGTAGCAGGTGGCAAGCCTGCTGCCTCCGCACAATTTCTTCTCAGTTCTGATGTGTACGCTAGAGCCATCTAGTAGCGTATCAGAAGAGACATGTGTGAGAAACATGGCCGCTGAAGTTTGTTTACGAGACATCTCGCTCATGCTCGTGAGTAAATCTAAGACATGGACCGCCCCTCCGTAGGAAGTCATTCATGATACGGATTTTTATCACCTTTGAAAATCCATAGACCTCGGCCGGGTTTGAACACCCTAACCTATAAACTTCTCAAAATGTTTATTTACAACAGGAAATAAATACCTTCGTGGAGAATTACAAATTGATGCTCGTCTTCTGGGTTGTGATGTCATGTGGATAACATTTCAGAGGAACGTATTACCTCCATATTCAAAAAGAAGAAATGCTGGTATCTACTTATGAGTCCATGTGGCATTACAACCCACACTGAATATCCGGAATTAAGAGTTATGCACAAAAGTATAATAAACAATGTAAACTGTCAGATACACGTCCATATTTCTAGCATCTTGTAAATTGTAATATGGCTTCACTTCGACATTTCTGTTTGATGCAGCTGCTGATCAGACATTCCAAGCCTTTTTCCTCAGCAGTCATTGGATACGTCACAAAACAAAAAATGTTACCAATGTGACAGTGTATAAGATACAAAGCTTATCAAAATCTTTGAAACAGCTTAAGTTAAGGCACTGGGCCCTGTACTTCCAGCTAACGTATTTTATAATTCATGCATACTGTTCTGAGTATCTGCCGAACAAAATACTATTTTAAATAAAGTAACTTACATTGAATTTTTGTTAAAAAGAATTGTTTACATACATCATAAAGCAAACAAACATTTATGTACACATATTTATAAGCTATTATGATTTTGACAAAAAGCAATTCATTGTATGGTTCTAAATCTTAAAAGCACTTTCTTGGATTACGTAATATGACAACCTAACCTAACTATAACTTAATTATTTGTGTCTTATATTCTAACCAACAAAATAGCACTGTGGACCAAAGTCCTTTTGATGCTAATAATCATTTAGTTACTGAAGAAATTTGCAGTCATTTATGGAAGCTAAAGCTTCATTAACGTACAAACAAAACTGCTTACACTTTGAAGGACACTAATGCCACTAATGGCATTAGTGTCCTTCAAAGTGTAAACAGTTTTGTTTGTATGCATGTTTCATATTCCAATACACTACACGGTATGCAAGGTGTTCAGAAAAGTCTGCCATTGGTCCATATGGTGAGCTAGGTCAATCCAGCCCGAACCCACTAACATTTTAATATCACTCCCCCATCTACGCCTATGTCTTCCAAGTCGCCTCTTCCCTTCAGGCTTTTTAATCAAAATTTTGTAAACATTTCTCATTGTCCCATTATGCTACATGCTCTGTCCATCTCACCCCCCACTCGATTTGTTCATTTTAATAATATTTGAACAAGACAACAAACAAACGCAAAGCTAAGAAATGAGAGACAAATTTTATGGACAGAAAAAATAAATATAAATAGTGCTTTTGCACATCTCAGCATGTAACGAGGATTTAGGAAAAAAAACAACTGAATTACTGTATATAATTTCACAGTAAAAAATGCCTGCATGGACACTGAAAGTCATGCTTAGAAGCGGAATGTAACGTCTCGTCCAACGGGTGGCACTTTTCCACTCGATCGAAACCACCTTCAATTCCCAAGTACAAGCCTCTAAGGGTGTCGAGTGCGTGTGGACAGAGGAAAATGAGCAATGCATTTGTAAGGTCAAAGGTAATACAAAGCACAAAGAATATCTTGACAAATATTCACAAAGTGTGGCTATATTCACATGAAACAATTACAATTATGCAATATTTTTACCTATTACTACATTCTACATTACTTATGGTATAAGATTATCTCTAAACCTTTTTCTTCTAGAGATTAAAAACA